GAAATCAAGCTTTCTCCTTTATCGAATGAAGGAAAATACACATGTCCCAGGATAATATTGTAGGGTCCAATCTGAGTTGGTCACTGGGACCAGAGTTTTAATCTTCCAAGCTTGGACTCATTCTTGAGCCCATCTTCAGGGAACTTCTTTCTCTCCAGAATACATGCACTGGACTGTTCCATGTATAGTATTTATGTGGTGCCTGGTTGTGTGTGGCTTTTAGTTGTTAATTGGGATGTTGATGGTCAGCTATTAAGTCGTTGGTTGTTGTTTCCTTTCATTAAGTATTGGATAAGCTGGGGGTAAATCAGCACTCCCTGTTGATGGACAATGGGTCTGATTTCTAGACTTCAATAATTTCCCTGGCTATTTTTGTCCCTGCTTGTCCAACAATCTTAGTAACTGCAAAACTGAATGTATGTCCTTGTTCATTACAGTATACCAATACTGTATTGAACACTGAGGATACCAATGAGTTCGGGTCCCCACATCTAACCACTTTTTCTTGCAATCTGGTGGTGAGCTTCCTCGCTGTCTGTTTTACATTGTCACAGGGACAATCCATGCAGAGAATCCAGTAAATTATGTTAGAAGTTGCTCCCACTTCCAAGCAATCTTTGTAATACATGATTTGTCCTGATATGGTAGGCTCTGAGTGATGGGCAATGCCCAACTGCAGATCAGAAGTTGCATTCTATTGCTTCCAAAATGTTTTTGATATACAATGTATGGCAGGGTATGCCATATAGTTGGTCTTGTGCCATTTTTCGTCCTTTTTCTCCCCTGCATGTTGCGCAGGCATCTTGTAATAAACACTTGTGAATATCCATTCTGCCTGAATTGTTCACATAGGTACTAGCCAGGGGTGGGCTGCTGGGAGCTCGTAGGGGTTCGGGAGAGCCCTTAGCTGAGATTCTGAGCAGTTTGGAGAATCCCCAAATCCCACTCCTGGCTGGCCCCGCCCACCCTGCCCCTCCTAGGAGTCCCCACATGACCCATTTTGGATGCAGGTAAGTGCAGGGCGCATGGGGAGGCTCGGGGAGGGTGAAAAACGGGTCTCCCAGAAGTTCGGGAAGGCCAGAAATGGGCCTGTTTCAGGCTTCCAGAGAGCCTCTGGAGCCCGGGGAGGCTGTTTTCGCTCTCCCGGAGGCTCAAGGAAAGGGAAAAATCCCCCCCTCCATAGTGCAGGAAGCCGACTAGGCTACAGCCACTATGGCCATGCCCACCCAGCAACCGGGCAGAGAACCTGTTGCTAAAATGTTTGAAACCCACCCCTGATACTAGCTCTCCAGTTGTTTTGCTTGCTGGGTACTACAGTGAGTTCTCAGCTGCCATACAGTGTTCCGATGGAACTCCTATTTATTTTCTCCTTTATGCTTTGCTCCTCCCAAAATGTTTCTAATAAATCAATTGGAGAGATAACGTCTCGGAGCGATTGATATCATGGATACTTTCTGGATGCCTTACAGCATAATTATATTAATATCTCTGCAAACAATTTAAGCCCAAATGTATACTAGCATATTTACAGAGACTTCTGGTTTGCCATTTTCTCAGTTGTTTCCAGTATGATGTATAAAAAGGATACATGGGAAAAATTACATTGATACATACATAGACAATATATGAATGATCTTGGAAGGGGTGAGGGAAGAGATGCTGTCTAGGAACAATCAGATAAAAGTGGGAAAACCCTGTAACTGAGTAATGGTCAAAATCTTAGAAATGTATCAGGTAGTTAAAAAGGGACAGCGGTAGATGTGTACTTTCAGACTTGCGAAATTCTTTTAATGTATTAATGTAATGTATTGCCTTATAATAATGTAGAATTAGTCTATCTTATTGTGTTTCCTGTCTGGTCTACTTGGAAGGCTGGCAATAAATATTTACTAGCATCATACTATGAATTATTTTTCTCCCCAGAGTTTTATAATAAATAAATATTATGTTATTTCAATAATTTGATCAGTATTAGCTGTGTGACCTACCTTGTCTGCTTAATAAATCTGAGTATGTATGATTTTAGCCAAACACTAACAATGTCAACAGTTTACAAGTCCTAAGCCTTGTAGTTTTATGATTAGTTTGATATTATTTTTCACAAAACTCTTTTCTGGAATAGCAATAGCACTTAGAGTTACTGTATATACCCCTTCGCAATGTTTATAGCTCTCTCTAAGCAGTTTACAGAATCAGCATAATGCCCCCAACAAGCTGGGTCCTCATTTTACAGACCTGGGAAGGATGGAAGGCTGAGTCAATTTGAGCCACTCAGAATTGAATTCTGGAGTGAGCAGTATTTTAGACCTGCAGTATAACAATGATTAAATAGCCAGTTTTAGTGTCTAAAAAGCATTTATAAAAACATAAAAAGTGTTATAATTTGTATAAACTTTAAATTTTAAGTGACTCCATACATACCAAGGTTACAAGGAAGGAATTTATGATTACATCAAGCTAACAATAAAACAAAAAATGAATCACAGCTATTTACTATTAACCCCTTTGTTGTCTCACTTTACTGAAGATTGACTGCTTAGCAATAAACCATTAATTGACTTTATTGGATTGGGCATTTCATTTGCTTCTTTGGCATAATATAACTAGAATATAGCTAAAACATTACCACTTATTAAAGCATATTGTAGCATGGCACAGTGCATAGCAAAGTAAAAGAAAATACAGTGACATTAGAAAAGTATGAGGCAAATACAAAGTAAAATCAAATATTGTGTAGGCATGATCCTAAGCTGGTTTTAGATTGGAAAAAGAATAGACGCACGTAGTCAGGCTCTAGAATTACAGTTTAAGTTCTGAAGGCAATTTAGTTTTGCAGTCAGCAGATGGAACCATCAAACTGTACATCAAAACAAGTTTTGTGCAAAATTATTTTGACATAATACCTGTAACTCTTAGAAATTTCCTTAAAAGCAAAAAAAAAAAAAAAGGATCCTACCCTGAAGTGCAGATCATGGCTTTAAAGGTTGCTTGCCTTATTGCTCTATATCAGTATTTCTCAAATTTGGCAACTCTGTGGACTTCAACTCCCGGAATTTCAAGCCACACATCTTAAAGTTTCCAAGGTTGAGATATTGATGACATACAGAATTTATGTATGATTACTAGTTCTGCTATTTTGGTATTGTACATTTATGATATAGCATGTTTTATTTTCGTTTGAGCATTTTAAAATATGTACATATAAGCATTAAACAAGAATCAAATGAAATTTTAATTAATAACTATCAATATATTTGAGGTTTTATTAAATAACAGGACCAAAACATAATATTGTCTTAAAGACAAATTTAGAGTTTGAACTGTTTCTTATCTTTTGCTCTAGTCTGTAGGACTTTGGTGCCATCTAGGGTCTATAAAGTATTATAGAAACTATAGTACAGTATCATAAAAAATAGATAGCCATATGAAAAAATTTGAGTGCTAGGCCACTGGATAGCTTTTACAAGCTCTTCAAAACGTTTTATCAAGCCAGATGTGAACAAATTAGTCACAAGAAAAAAGAAACTGTTAAAATTAAAATTTCTACACTGAAGTCAATGCATACAGAATTTTAAAAATTGATTACAGAAATTTGAATTAAACTGTGCTGAGTGATGACCCCATTGAGTATTTGAGTTTGTAGTATTTGCTGTGTGAGCAAGAAAGAGACATCAAGGAGCCTGGGCATGGCTTAGCTCAACTGTTCTGTACTAAAGCTGCTTGGTGCTGTGAAACTAAAACTGAAACTCCTCTCCTCTACTTGTGTTTTGCATTTGGAACAGATTTCTTTTCAGGTGGGGAGGTGGAAGTAGAACTCCTTAGCATCAGAGTGTGTTAATAATATATGAAATGCTAACGCTCTGATGGTCATTTAAAAAAATCCTTTCTTAGTGAGCACCTAGAAGTCAAGAGGAACATATGTGCCAAAGTTTGGAGGCTTTACGGTCCTGGAGATTTTGTGATGATGCACGAATAGTATTTCGCTTTTATATATATAGAAGATAGAGGAGGAGGATAGGAAATATTTTGAGGGAAGCCCCATTACACACACTTGGGCATACTTTCAATCAGCAAAGACTTAAGTACATTGCCTAGGTTAGGCTATAAATTATATACCCATGACTATTATACAGTATTATACAGTATACGTTTATTAGGCTTTTATCCTTTTTTTCCATATACAACTCAAGGTAGCAAGCATACTTCTTTCGATTTATCCCTGACAAACGGAGGTGAATTTTGACATATGCTTTCAAGAGCAGAAAATAACTTAAGAAACTTAAGAAAACTACAATTTTAAATATTTAACTATTAGCCTCTTGTTACACTTGCCAAGAAAACTGCAGGGATTTGTCAGGCAACCTCTCAGAATCAAACCACCACTGAATGGAAGGAGGGAAAAATGTACGAAGCTCTGAGCTGTTTTTTTATTCAATGTCTTCTGTGTATTTGGATCAGTGTCTGTCAACCATGCCTGGATATGAAATCCACTTATCTTCAAACGGCCAAGGTCAAGAAACACTGAACGGGACCCTTGTTTTTTTTGTTTTGTTTTTTACTTTTGAATTAAACCAGAGATCCCCAAACTTGGCAACTTAAAGACTTGTGGACTTCAACTCCCAGAATTCGAATTCTGAGAGTTGAAGTCCACAAGTCTTAAAGTTGCCAAGTTTGGGGACCCCTGAGCCAAACAGTTCAGTTACCCTTAGTTGTGCATGTTACGGAAAGGCAACTGCAGGATATGTAAAGCTCCGCGGTGTGTACACAAGCAAACACCTCTTTTCAGACCCGTCTTCTAATCAATCAGACGGACGTAATCACAGCAAACACCAAGGTCACCAAACAACTCGGCAGCTCCCGCCCCGCCCGCCTGCCCGCTTCCCCCTCGGTAGGAAGCCCGCCAGACAAGGCGGGAAGAAATAGGCGGAGTCATCGCCCTCCCCCCCACCGCCACTTCCTACTGGAGTCGAACTACAACTCCCAGCATACCTTCTGAGTGCCGGTCTGGCTCTGAAAGTGAAAACAAACTTTTGAAGGGCTGCCCGTTTCAGTGGAAACGCCACAGGTTTCGTTTCCGAGGGGGAAGCTAGGGGACGCGCCAAAGCTGCCGCCGGCGGGAGCTGAACTGGGGAGGGAGTGAGGGCGGGCGCGCTGGGGTTAGAGGCCCGGCGGGTGTCCAGAGGAGGAGGCCGAAGGGGGACAACAAAAAGCAGCAGGTCTGCGGTTCAAGCGGCGCCTCTTGCAAGAGTCCCACATGCGAGCTGCAAACGTGAGCCCGGCGCCTCTCGCTTTCGGACAGCTTTTCCCGGCGGGTTGCTTTCCATGCCGGTCGCCCTGTGTTGTATAGCCATCTAGTTTCCTTTTCAGCCATGTGGGGCTAACTAAGGGGCAGGCGGGGAAGGGAGAAAGACTTTTCCCTGCCGCTTCTGGAGCAATAAACAAACATGGAGGAGGCGACCGGCTGCAAGGAGGAGCAGCAGAACCGCCTGGGCAACGGCGTGGCGAGCCCTGCCGAGGCTGCCATGGACGACTCCTTGCGGTCTCGGGGATTGTACCGCAAGCGGGTGGCGAAGGACGGCTCGTGCCTCTTCCGAGCGGTGGCCGAGCAGGTAAAAAGCAGCCCCGGCTCGGGTCAGAGGGCCGGAGTGAGAGGTGGAGGACACCTCGTCGGGCTCCTCTCCCAACTTGTTTCATACTATTCCCGTCACTCGACGAGAGGCTTGCGGGGTGGGGGAATAGAATCAACGGCTGCAAATCGATGGGGGGAGCAAGCCAGCCCCTGGTTCGCCGTAGGCCGCAGCGGATCGAAATTCCCGTGGGCCGGGCGAGGAGGAGGTCTCGTTGGCTGTGCGGGGCCGGCTGTGGGCTCTCACAAACGGCAGCCGCCCTGGAGGCGGCTACTTCGGAAGCTTTCCGCTTCGGGCTCCCTCCAGGGCGAAAGGGGAGCGGTTAAGGTATAGCGGCTTTTATAAGGGGAAAAAAGCTACCTGGGAAAGAAAATTCGGGATGGAAACTCAGTCTCCAGGCCTCCCTTATGGCAGCGACTCTAGATGGTCGCTCATCCTAGCCCTTTCTAGGGCAGGGGTCTCCAACCTTAGCCGCTTTAAGCCTGGAGGACTACCAACCCCCAGAATTCCCCAGCCAGGAGTTGAAGTCCTCCAGGCTTATAAAGCGGCCAAGTTTGGAGGCCCCTGTTCTAGGGAGACTGAAATCTCACTTTTGCATCCAGAAAGTTATTTTGGCGTTTAAGTTTGTTTCCTGTTGGAAAAAAAAATATTTTGTTGGCCCAGAAAAAAAAGGAGGAGAAGAGATTATTTTTGTATTTTGCACTCTGGCCCATTTAAGTCTTAATAATTTCATTGGGCACACACATGGTGTGGATGAGATGCAAAACAAGAAAAACTGCAAAGGATCCAAAGCTTTTAATCTTTTCCATTAAATTTCAAAACTCATTGAAATGGATTGGCTTTCTTTTTCCTGTGGCTCAGCAGACTTGCAGGGTATTTGTGGGTCTCAACTGGCATTTAAATGCAGCCTGCAGGATGTCTGGCCTTTTGAATAAATAGATGCCCCAAGGGGCTGGCTTGCTTTAATTTAGGCTAGCTTCCTGTAACCCTAATGACTAGGCACTTTAAAAAAAGACAGGAATGGGAAGCTTTTCCAGAATATTGATATACTTTCATTCCCCCCCACATAACATTGGATTCTGACATGAAAGTGGTACTTGATGATCAGAGGGGAATTATTAGGTGTGAGATACTTTAGGATGGTTCCCCCAAAAAGTTAATATTCATCAGGAAGTTCTTGCCTTGATTTGCATATCCTTTGTGGAATTTATGAGGTAAGCAATTGTGTTTCCTCCAATTGCTTTGAATTCCAAGTCTGTAAACCCAGCATAGGGTCAGTGAACAGAAATTATGGGAGTTGTGGTCCCAAATAGGTGAATGTTGTCATATTGTCTGTCATTATATAGCCTGCAATAGATTGAGTCAGCTAGTTTTGGATCCTTCTCAAATGTCAATAAAAGAAATGTTTCTAAGGGAGAAATGTTGTTTCCAGGTTAACCCAACACTAAACCACAATCTAGCCAATCAGATTATACTAAATTTTAGTGGATGTTACTAGTTTATGGTTAATAGCTTATGGTTCAATGTATTTTGAGAATCCAGAAAATTGGATAGAATTTTTTGGCTAAGTTAACAGGATGAAGACTGTGGATACAGCCAGCTCCTTGATGCCACGGATTCAGATTTTGCTATAATAGGCCAACATAGCTAATTCTTTGGAAATAGCTGCATTCCAAATGGCTGTAAAATAATGCAGGCCAGGGATTTGATCAGCATTTGTATACAGGTAGTCCTCGGACTGACAACCATTAATTTAGCAACTTTTTGAAATTACAGTAGCACTGAAAAAAGCAACTTACAACTGGTTTTATGCACTTACAAAGGTAGTAGCATCCCCACAGCCATATGATTATGTGACTTGGCAACCATCATGTATTTACAATGATTGCAATATCCCAGGATCATGTAATTGCCAGTTGCAATCTTCCTAGCCAGCTTCTGACAAGCAAAACATGGGGGAAACCCAATTTGCTTAATGACTGCATAATTTACCTAACAGCTGTGGTGATTCACTTTATTGTAGCAAAAAAAGGTCATAAAATTGATACTTAGCAATCTTGCTGAACCATGGAAATTCTGGTCTCAGTTATAGTTGTACATTGAGGACTACCTGAACAAATGGTTATAAAATCTAGTCAGTACAAGTGTTGATCTGTCAAAATAAAAACCCACACGGTTTTTTCAGGACCTTAAAGAGTATCTAAATTGACGATCTTCAGAACTGTTCATCAGACAGGATATTCAAAAAAGCAAGTAACAGTAAACCTGTCCATTATTGTGGCGCTGGAGTTTTTTTTAGTTCAGATGCAGTTTTTAGGGCTTTGATAAAACAATATCCTGCAGCTTTGAAAACACACACAAAGCCATTTTAAATACAAGTCTGTCTCAATACTGGCTCATAGATTCATTATTCAGGCAAAACATGTATCAACATGCTCTATTCTGTAAAGAAGTAGCTTTTAAGTGCCTTCACCTTCATCCGGTCCTTGAACTTTAAAATTTCAGATATTGGTTTCTTGAGATTTTGCATTACTGTATTGTACTTTGTATTTTAATAATCCTGTCATATATTTATCTGAGAAGTGCTAAAATTGATTTAATATATATCTATGTCTAGCTATTCCTGTGACTAGTTACGTGCAGGTTTGAGAGGAGTCCATGGTTTCTTTGAATTAGGTCTTTTACTTCGCTTCACTGGAAATAACTGTCGCTAACTTATATGGTGGTTGAATAGATAGCCTCAGTTCTGAAGGATAAGAGATCATTTATTTTTTAATTTTCTAGATAAATGAAACAACTATTGTTCTAATAAAAATATCATTTCCAAAATATAAATTGGACTCAGATGGTTTCTTCTGGATATGTTATTTTAAATAAAGATAATCATTTTTGACAGCTTATTTTAAAATGGGTAAAAGCAATTTAATTTATAAATTAAAGCTGAATTCTAGCTCTAATTTAACAACTTTAATCTTTTAGATTTCAAATTGTAAGTAAATATACATAAATTTGGAACTCTTTTTTTAAATAACTTTTTTCCAGGTTTTCCACTCGCAGTCGCAGCATCTTGATGTTAGGATGGCCTGTATAAATTATCTGAGGAAAAACAGAGAGAAATTTGAAGCGGTAAAAACATTATTATATTATGGATAACTAATAAAGCCATTCTGAACCTTTTAAGCTCATCTAATTTTTCTACGATTATGCTCTGAGAAAACGCATGGTCAATTTTGCTTATGACTTGCCATAAGCAGTCATTTTATTCCAACTAAGAGGATCTATGGGTGGTGTTTGAATAGATCACTTCTTGATTATTCCTTGTGTCAAATGATGTGATTTATAATGTACAGAAGCTAAAATATAAAAAACTAAATAAATCATTTATTACCATATCATGATGATCAATTTTTTTGTTTTCCTTTATGACATGGGTGTCAATCTTGATTGTGTCATGTGATGTCATGTGACATTGTGATTTTTTTTGCCTTTGCGGAGCTGAGATGGGCGTGGCCTGTGCATGATGCATCCAGGTTGCCAGTTTGACACCCCTGCTTTATGGGAAGAAACGAACTCCGGATATGAAGGTTTTCATATCCACGAAAAATCCATGGTCTGTTTGCTGTTTTTTGGTTTAGTGTACTGTAGTTGCTAAACCATGTTTTATGGTTTTGTATGTTGGGTAAACTCAACTACTTGTCATTTAACCATGGTTTATTTAACTATGATAGGTGAAACCCAGTTCATTGTGATATGTACCACATCAATATCAGGCAGTTCAGTAAAACTTTCCTACATACTATATACATGTGCATGACTCATTAGGTTTTAAGAATGCTTTGGGTGTACAAGTGGTTAACATATTCTGACAATATAATTATATACGTGTGTGTCTGTGTGTTAATATGATAAATGCATTTACTTTGGCATATAGAAGCATGAGAACTGGATGCATCCAAGATACATGCATTATTTCAAAATTTTGAAATTTCTGTGGTAAAGCATTTATAAACATTGAGAACTTGCAGCGATGCAGCTTCATCTCATAGAATTCTTAGCCATAGTGAATTCCTGGGATTTGAAGTCCATTTACATCTGAAAGTCACTAAGTTTATAAATAGCCTGGAGCTTTTTCCACAGTGTCCCAATGTCTCCCCGAGTTACCCGCTTGCAATTATGGAAAGGAAGTTAATATATGACCTGGTGCGTTCCTAGATGCTACTCAGAAGCTATATCTATAATTTCTGGAGTTTTACTTATGAGTAAATTGTAAGTCTCCACAATTTGAAGATTAGAAGTAAGGATCCTTGATCAAATCTTTTTACAAAAGTGAGCCTTGTTAACTTTACTTAGGAGTAAAGCTGGATGTTTCACAGTGCTATTAATACTTCTTCATTTTTATGCTTTACAGTTTATAGAGGGGTCATTTGAGGAATATCTGAAGCGCCTGGAAAATCCACAAGTATGTACTGTCAAATTAACCTCATATATAACATTTGAGCTATCTCATTCTCTTAAGGACTGAATCTTGCAAATGAACTTTCTTTGGATATTACATGTAACAGTTTTTCAAATAATGGTTAAAAGTAAATGTACAGGTAACTACTGGTAGTCCTCGACTTACGATCACAACTGAGCCCAAAATTTCTATTGCTAAGCAAGACAGTTGTTAAGTGAATGTTGCTCTATTTTACAGCCTTTGTTACTACGTGCCAGTGTTAAGTGAATCATTGCAGTTGTTAAATTAGCAACAATTGTTAAGTGAATCTGGCTTGTCAGAAGTTTGCAAAAGGTGATCACATGATCCCAAGACCCTGCAACTGTCATAAATATGAGTTAGTTGCCAAACATCTGAATTTTGATCATGTGGCCATAGGAATGCTGCAACATCAATGTGAAAAATGATCATAAGTCACTTTTTTCAGTGCTATTGCAACTTCAAACAGGCATGCATGAATTATTGTAAATCAAGGACTATTTGTACCCACTACTTCAAGTGTTTTGGAGAGATTTGAAGTTATACAGAAAATGCACATTTATTGCAAATAGAGATTTATTTATACCCATTTGTTTATTATGGCTTGCATAAAGCAAAAGAAAGACAAACCTCACACAATACACAAAAATAACGAATAGTGCATATGAAAAGGAATCAGTGATTCCTGGTGATATAGTTCCTTAAGCAGTAAAATGGGTTTTGGCATATTTTTTCTCTTGTCAGAAACTTAAAATGACTTAGTGAATAAACTGTTTTTGCTGAAAGATTAGAAATAATAAGTCAAAGGAAGGCAATGAGTATAGGAATCTATTATCAGGATAAAACTCCTGACTAATAATTCCTGGGAATCTAACAAGACCATATTTCCTATATAGTTTTTGTGTGTGTGATCTGGATGGTCAGAGAGCACTTAACTAAGTCCCCATCCATCTAGGAGGTGAACAGAGGAGCCCAATAGATATTCTGGGTGGCAGTTCCTTCATATAGAACAGCTTTTCCTCTAATCTGAGGATGGCTGTGTGGTGCAGTGGTTAGAATGCAGTACTGCAGGCTACTTTTGCTGCCTGCCGGCTGCCTGCAATTTGGCAGTTCAAATCGTACCAGGCTCAAGGTTGACTCAGCCTTCCATCTTTCCAAGGTCGGTAAAATGACCCAACTTGATGGGAGCAATATGCTGACTCGGTAAACCGCTGAGAGAGAGTTGTTAAGCATTGTGAAGCAGTATATAAGTCTGTGCTATTGCTAGTGCTATTGCCTCCATTCTCAAAGCCTTGCAGGAGGTATTGAGGACTGAGTGTAGAATCACAGGCCTTAATATGTGTTGTGGTAGAGACATTAAAGTACCTCACTGTGTAATTTGTCTATGCAACCTACTGAACAACCCATAGCTTCTCCACCTAGTTTTGCAAGTAGAATTGGGGATTGGAGGAATAAAATTTGTAGGGAAGTTTTTATTTGCTTCTGTAAATTTAAAATAGGGAGAGTGGTTGTCCATTTGTGATACTCACTTAGGGAGCATATTAATCTGGCTCTGGTGTTCATGGTAATTGGAATGATTGAAGTTCAGTTACTACTTTTTGAGCTTCTCCCTTGAGGTAATGGTGGGATAATTCTTTTCTGTTGGCTCTTCAAAGGAAATGATAAACCAGAAGAATAAAAGGCATTAGTGCTGGAACAAAATAGGCTATTGTTCTGTCTGGAATAATGTAATTAATAAGTCTCCAGTGCCAGGCTGTGAGGGGGCATATTTAACGCATATCTGTTTTGGCATTTTTGTATATTGCCTCTTGCTCTTTTTTGCTCTTGCTCTTTCTTGCTCTTGTCTTTTTTGACTTTCTCTTGAGTTCTTTCTATATACTGGGCAAGGATAAAAATGCAGTTGATCCTTCGCATATTTGAACTGCAGCATCATTGGAAGTGGAGACAAGGCCAATGTTTTTAATACTTTTCATTATGCATTAAGCCTTACTGTCGAGTTTCCATTCTTGTTTCACATAAAAAGGTAGTATTTGGAATTTGAAGTCAGGGATTATTTTCTCTGGTTAAACTGCTTAGAGGCAGTTCTGTTCTGTTCTCAGGTTGTATTGTTGGATAGGACCCCAACAGTATACAGGAGAGCAAAAATAGGAGTAGCTAGGATACATTCTGCCTGTGTAAGCAAAGCATGCAGGAATTGAAGGATTCAATAAGGTTATAAGGTTATGGATCAAGACTTTTTGGACAGGATATTTTGTATACCAGGCGGCCATGCTTCAGGAAGAATAAGGAGCATATGCTAAAAATGGAAAGAATTGATTTTAAATGAATTAAAAATTCATGAAAACTTTTGTGGAATTACAAAAACTTTAATATTGGTGAGTTGTAAGAAATGCACATTCATTGAGGCTTTATTAAACTTTTTCCAATCTGGAGCCATCGAGATATGTTATATTACAACTTGGGTCATAATTCCTATAATTTGAAATTGACAAAGGTTAAACCAAAGTATTAACTATTGCTGCTTGCTAGTGATTTAAGGGTTCTTAAATAACCTTTGGGAATTTCACTGGTTATTTACATGTTACTTATTATTTACTTAAAATGTTTTTTTCTCTTTCTACTATAGGAATGGGTTGGACAAGTTGAAATAAGCGCCCTTTCTCTTATGTTCAAGTAAGAAATAATTCTTTAAGGTTCAAAAGAATAATGCTCAAACCAATATAATGCATGTTTTTAATGTGGCAGCTTTTAGAAAAATACAAACAAATTGATCAATTTTATTTTGTAGTGGTGGAATAATCCATTTCATCCAGGATCCCATAAAGCTGCCAGGCAACCACCTTCTCTACCATTTTCCCTAACAGGGAAGGTGGAGACTGGATAGAAATTGTCCAGACAGGTGGGATAAGAGATGTTTTTTTGAGGAGCATGTGGAACAGGGCCTTCTTAAAAGGCTCCAGAAACATCTCCTCCTGCAATGAAAAATTTGTCAGTGTCTGAATCCAACTGGCTGTCATCATCCTGGAGGCTTTCTACCATGCAGGAGGGATAGGGATCTAATTAATAGGTTGGTTGACAGTATCAAGAATCGTATCCCACTTCAGCAGGTTCAATGGGATCAAACTTTTCCCCATAACTGGCTGAGACCTTTCCCCATGCATCTCAGATAGACCTGCAACATGCATGGGTTCCAAGTGAATCCAAACGACTTTGTTAGTTTTCAATAATTTCCTCTGCATGGCCCTGAAAATGGTCATTTCAGACTATCTTTAGGAGCTCTTCTGTCCCAGGAGGGACTGGGTGATCCTGAACAAGGTCGCCAGATAACATACTATGGATGCAATAAGGGAGGTGAAATAATGGCATTTTGCCACTGTTAATGACATTTGGTAGGCTTTAATAGCAATGTTTAAATTGTGTCTGGATGGATTCATCCCTTTTTTCATCCAGCGGCACTTTAGGTGTCTCTTAGCTCTTTTAAAAAACCTGTAGCTCCTATGTGAACCATGGGCAGAGTCTGGAGCAGTGGGTCAGGAGAAGGTGCACAGGGGCTATCCTATCCAAAGCCTTGGCCACTCTTTGGTTCTAGGACATAACCAGAGCTTTGGCAGGACTGTGTAGTAAAGCCCCAGGGATATCCCTCAGATCCCTCTGGTACCCATTTGGGTCCATCAGTTGCTGGGGACATACTTCTCAAATGGGTCTCGGCTCCTTGTGGAGACAGATGGCATAAGAGAATCTCAAACCAGGATGTGATCTCACCATGTAAGGAGAGTGGGGAGAAAATAGTGGTAGATTCCCTCATCAGATCACATTGCCAATAATCCGACAAAAAAAATCATATCTAGTGTGTGACCGCTGCCTCTAATCGGATTCAAGATGATGTGAGATAGGCCCAGGGTAGCCGTGAACTCAGGCTGCTTCTGAGACCAAACCCAGCAATGGAAGATTCCATAGAGTTCCTATGGAACTCTATTGCCAATTCTGGGATGTCATTCAGCTGCTTAGACAGGGAGGCTGCTGTACAGCAGGGAAACTGATAAAACAGTAACAATTCCAACTGATTTAGCTTCAGAAACAGGGTCTCACAACCAGATACTTGGAGAACAAGGGCAGAAGAGTAGGAATAAAGGAAGAATCATATCAACAAACTTTTTTCCAATATAAATGCTGCTATAGCGGATTAGTCTGTTTTTTAGGCTGCTCAAATATATAAGCTACTAACATTGCCTGGAAAACAGATGAATGGATAAAACCAAAGTGGAATATAATATATAATGTATTATAGGTAGTCCTCGACTTACCAGCTGTAATGATTCACTTAACTGTAACAAGAAAAGCTGTAAAATGGGGCAAAAGTCACTTAACAAATGTTTCATTTAGCAACATAAATTTTGGGCCCTATTGTGGTTGTAAGTTGAGGACTACCTGTATATTCTAACATTCTGTTTAAGAAATCAGGGAACTTAAGGCATTACGTGCATGATGTGAAGTGTTGTGTGTGATTAGTGCTGCTAGGCTTGTTCATGGCTTGAGGGTTGATCACATTTGGTAGGTCCTTTGGTGAAGTTTGCAGAATAGGCTTAGAATTGGGTATTACTCTGCTAAAGATCCAAGGAGGCTTATTTAATTGACAGTTTTAAGGCAGATGTATTTTAAGGCAGATATGGGTGAAACTTTGGTGATGAGGGAGGAGTGGAGAGAATATCAGGTTCTGTTAAGCAGTCCTGTTCCATCTAAGAGCCATTGCCAATTCCTGCTGCTTGACCTGAGTCTTGCAGTTAATAGTGTTGCCATTGCAGAATTCACAATATATTTCTCCTGAATTATATAAACTCATTAAACAAAGATTCATGCACAGTTTCATAAAGATCAGTCTATTCTATTTTTATTTATTATCCATTTCATGATAAAACTTGTGATTTACAGATGGTTTTTCCCTTTATACATTTTCTAGAAAAGATTTTATAATATATCGGGAACCAAACTGCACTCCTTCTTATATAACTGAAAATGGCTTTCCCGACAAGGTAAGATGAATCCAACTGTAATATATCTTGAAACGCTTATAACTTGAAGAATTGTGAGGTTTTTGCAGAAGTAATGTAGGAAGTATTGTGCTAGTCTTTAATTTGTGTGTAAATTTGTTAACTATTATATCTTAAGTATTCTTGTGCTCTTTTTTAGATATTGCTGTGTTTTTCAAATGGCAATCATTATGATATTGTCTATCCTATAGACTACACAATCAAGGCTGCTCTTTGTCAGTGTAAGTATTAATATGATATATCAACTTTGAAATGCAATCGTAGTTAGGAATCAGAGATCCCTCACATAGTTGCATGTTTCTATATGTGGTGCGGCTGTTTTAACAGGCAAAAATATAACCAAAATGTAAATGCTGATAGAGAGAGTTGAAGAACTCCGACTATTGGTATCCAGTATAAGTGCCTTCCCTGCTACAGCGCCCACCCTCTGGAACATTCTACCCTCCAAGGTTCCACTGTTCCATTATTTTATTACTGTTATGTTTACAGTTCTTCTCATTTCTCATTTTTATTGTTGTAAGCTGCCTAGTGTATCCCCCACAGTGAGATAGGTGACAAAATTAACAGCAACAAAAATAACTTATTTTCTGTAAACTAACATAACAAATGATGAAAACCAAGTGAATTGGGTGCACTAGTAGCCCTTGTGGCAGGTATCCATGAAATATATATTAAGATGAGTTCCTGCATTTGAGTTGTCCACCTAAATTATATTGTAGCTGGAATTGTAGTTTAAAATATCTAAACACAGCTATTAGTAAAATATGTATATGTGTGTACCGTACCTAAAATGGACATAGTATAAAAATGGATGTGGTATTTGGTTGTTTGCTTCATCTACATGAATGTGTTTGCAAGTGGATGTGGTAAAATTGATTATAAGTAATGGTAGAACAGCCAAACCCCCACCCCCCACCCCCCAGTTTGGGATCCCAAATGTGCCATTTTCAAAAAACCAAAAAGTCCAGTTGCCTCTTGAAAAGGCACCTTTGGGACAACCATGACATGAATGACTGAGAATCTCCACAGATGCTTAGTTTGGGATATAAGTTGGGAGCTGAAGAACTGTCTGGAGAATTCTCCCTCGAGCCGCTCGGAGCATCCAGACTGTGGGATGTGCTTCTGAGTCCTCTTCTTTCAGGCTGAGCAAAAGACTGCTGGATGCTCCTCGCGGCTCGCCTAGAAGGGGCGTATCAGGTAAGAACCAACGCCCCATTCCAGTTCTTCAAAAAGTGCTCCTGGAAATGCTGCATGATAGGGTAACTGGAAATTGAAACCTGTGGAAATGCTTCAGATGAACAGGATATAAAACTCATATTTTGAGTATTTGATCTGATACCCCAGGTTTCAGATCTGCTGCTGCAACCGTAAGTTACTTTGCCTACTTGGAAATGAAAAGTCCTGAAGATAGGCTGAAGTTTATCAGAGTAATTGAAGTTAATGTTTTTGCTAACCTATACAAAGCATTATTCCCAGAGGTATAGAGTGTATTTCTTAGGGAATTGCAGTTAGTAAATTGCAGTTAGTAATTAGCTGTCTCTGTTTCCCTTTTTAGGAAAGGATAAACCTGCTTCTTGATTTTCAATTTTACTTCTTTGCAGCATTCCCATCAATCATTCAAGGGAGTTAATAATCTAAAATAAAATACAAATAATTACAATCAAGTAAAATATTTTGATTGTCCAAATAATAATTGTAAATATTTTTATTTTGTTTTTATTTCCATTTTATATTAAAATATTAACACCCTTGAGTGACTTATGGACAGAAAGATTGCATGTACTATAAATCAAAATAAGAATAAATTTTCCTATTAAACCTAAATGTTATACAAATATAGTTCTGGATTCCTTAACAGAATATATGTATAAGTCTGGCTGCTTCCCTAAATCAACTGCTGCAATAATTTTCAAAGGGTGCTGGCTGCTTAACCTCTGGAAAATTATACTTGCTGCCTAATTTTAAAATGTCCTCAGTTTTGTCATCAGTCCCTTTTGGAGCTTTTTTATTTTAATAATAACTAAAGTATGTTTGTGACAAATGCCTATTGGTATTTGTTTTGTGTCCTAACTAGCTATTCTATATGAATTGCTATATGAAAAAGTATTTGGTGTTGATGTGAATAAAGTCTTAGAAGAACTGAACCATGCTGATTTGATTAAGAATGGCAGAAGAAACAGCGAAGAATCTGATTCAGAGGATGAAGATCTAGAGTAAGTAAACCTGCGTGTTTAAAGGTTAAGATGGTAGGACAGATACAACTTATTCTACAGTTATGTACAGAAAAGTGAACAGTATGAGGAAGTAGTATGTTTTCCTCAAAACTACATGCATTATCCCATTTACTGAGTATTACGGGAATTTCACCTCAAAGATATCTGTAAGGTGTCAGATTGAGGAATACCATTGTATATAAATTAGCTAAATAATATAACTAAATTGTTACAGAAATCAATTTTGGTCAAAGGAAGGGATGACGTATAGGAGATTAATTCTACCTTCTTATAATACTTGTGCTTTGTATGGTTCCTTAGGGCCTTATTTCACTCTACTAATCAATAAAGGATACAATCTTATATCTACAGCCTAGGTGCCTCCATAAACCATAGTTCTTGATAACTTGATATATTGGATATATACAGAAAGAATATGTAAGATCATATACATATTAAACATACAATTTGATTTTGCATTATTTTAGCAACAAATACGATTTGATTTGAAAACCCAGTTACTGGTGCAAAATACCCACTCTCAACATTATATCAAAATAAAATTAGAATTTGTGTCTTTGACTCAGAGGGTGAGACAGGAGCTCTGATATTTCCCATCAATAGTATTGTAGAGGGCATTTGAATTGATAGTTAAGCTCTTGCACATTGATGTTTGGTATGGCCAGAATTTTAATAGTTTGCAAATAAGAAAGAGGTTGCTGCTCCATTTTAAAACAGGGTGATATTGAACATGCTGAACTACAAGCTAATCAACTGCCTTTTGTTTTTACTGACACCATAGGCCTTAGTTGCCCAGTTTACACATGCATAGGATATGATCTTAAAGCTAGACTTATAGATAGCTTCCTTTCACTTACTGTCTTCCAAATGCGTTGGAATTTCAAATGTGTTGAGTGTGCAACTCTCAGAAGTCACATATAAAGATTGCAGTTTAGGAAAATAACATGAGAGATTTTTGCCTCTTTGTTTTAATTTCCAGTATCTCTTCTGTTGGTGTCAGAGTTAATACAGAAAGGCATTACAACTTGTGAGCTGGATAGAGTTAAAAATTCTCATCCCCCTGAGATTGAGGCTGGTTCCAACCCTCTTGGCGTTTTGGAAGCCCCTCAAAACAGGAACTAGGAGAGAGTGGAGAGTGTTGGATGATTATATGATAATTAGCGGAGGCTCTATATTTTGCTGCCATTTTATCTTTGACTTGTTTTCAATTTCAATTTAAATTAAATTGTGTTTTTAAATGATAGATATGTATGTATGTATGTATGTATGTATGTATGTATATTATTAATATGCCACATAGAATCACTTTGTGGGTGGCTATAAAAATGTGATTAAATAATTACTGAACTTTACCACTCAACCAGCAACAACTTGAGATTGCCAGTGGGGATGGGGGCCTAATTGATGGTATGAGGGCTATATATGAACAGCTGAGATGAACCACCGAGATGCATAAGCTTCCTCTGTTGTCCCTGTCCAAAATAATATTTAAGGTTAATATTAAACTGGTCTGATATATGTTTAATACAGTGACAATAGATTAGTATTGGCTTCATAGAATATCGTTCTATTGAAGCTGCTCAGAGTGAAATGCACCATATCCCTATGCTCCTCAGTTTACTTCTTTCATAAGAGTAAACATGAATAATGATTGTTTATATGAAAACAGAGTTCTTACTTGATTTTGAAATGTTTCTGTTGTATATCTTTTCCTTTGTCCAGAAGTGAAGAGGCTATAACAAGTTATACAAACAACAAGAAGGTATTTTATTTCAGTCTGTTCACCTATTTATTCAGTGTCTATGGCTGTTCCTCTTATATAGTGTGACTCTGGGTGATCGTATTAACTTCTTGAATTTTTGCAATCCGCTGTAACTTGGAATCACAGTTGCTATGACCTATCTTCTAGGAGAATTACTTGGTATACTCTTACTATCTTTAGTAGGTAAGAAAGAGCTCCCAGAGCCCAAGAGCCTTACTGGCAAGTAAAAATAAATAAAATAATAAAATAAATAATAAAATAATAGAATAAAATAAATTCTGTAGTTTCATCTTCTGGTCATACAGTGTTGTGTGTGACTTAGGAAAGAAGCCCCATTCCTTTGGGAGGTAGATCCATCTTAACAAGGTGTAGAAAAAACTATTATAAAAAAGGAAAGCAGATGATAATTTTTAAAATTTATATATAAAATATTCATTGCTGGAGAGAGAAATAAATTGAGTATTTTTTAAAGTCAATATCTGAAAACGATCTCCCATAGAGAAATTATAAAGAACAATATACAATTCAGGGAATATCCAAGATGGATCTGCTGCTTAATATAAAAACATTTCAGAATTCTTTATCTGGGAAGTAGATAAAGAAGTATAATCTTGAGAATATAGGAAGGCATTAGAACAAGAATGTACAAATGGTCCTCATTTAATAATCACTCATTCAATGTCTGTTCAAACTTTTGACCAGTGTGGAACAAGTGGTATGTATGACTGGTCTTTAAAAGTTCCAACTCTTGGCGGAGTCCCTGTGATCACACAATCTAGATGCTTAGCAATCAGCCTGGGTCTCCAGCCTTTGCAGCATCCCATGGTCATGGGGAACATGATTTGCAATCTTCCCTGCGGAGCTTCCCATAAGCAAAGTAAATGGGGAATCTGGCAGGAAGTTTTAAGTCGTAATCATGTCCTGTTTCACTTAACGATTTGTATGGTCCACATTTAAAGTTGATAACTGGGGCCTCCTGGAACTGACACTGATAAGTGGTATGGTCATGTGACATCACACTTCACAACCACACACTTAGCAACAGAAGTTGTGTCCATCATTAAGTGAGAACTAATTATAATACACTGCAGCTGATGCTATTAATGTGAAAGATTTAAAGAGTTAAACTTTAAAAGGTACTAATCTATGAAATGGTAGAAACAGCATATAAAGGATTATGCTGCAAATTGCTTTGAGCATTTGCGGTATGCACATTTTTCTTCATAGGCCTTTAAGGGAAAAAAAATAGCTTACCCACATATCAGAAAAGGAAATATTGAAGTTGCTAATCAGTGAAGTCTTGTGAATTGTGCAGTTGCTAAGCTTTGCATTATATGCTTATCAAGTCATAAATATTGGGCTATTGTATTTTTAACAATCATGAATAATACTTAGAAATTTTTTACATGAAGATGTTCTTATTTTGTATGTATGTTTGTACGGTTTTGATTTAATAATCGATATACTATTGCTTGGATTTGCTTCAAATTCTTTTTATATCCTGTATAGAATCATTTATTTTTCGAAGTATTTTTTATCTTTTTGCATAATAGCTTCATAAACATGGGAAATCTCATAATGTTACAAGCTTATCTGGAAAGGTTCTTCATTCCCTTAATCCATTAGTTTATCAAAATGTTGAATACGAAGTCTGGCGGCAGTCAAAAATAGGTAAGGAGCTAGTGCTGAAATCACTCACTCTGGGAAGAAAGACAGAGGAAGCTGAGTATTTTTTTTTTGTGCTCTCCTAAGAGTATAGTATAATGCGTTTTCTTTTTGTGCTTGCAGATCAGCAAAAAGAAGATTTTTCTATTGCTGCTGGCATGCAGTATTCTGTTGGAGATAAATGTAAAGTAGGTGGCATTACATCTGAGTAACTCTGCTTAACAGCTCTTTCATTTTTCAGCATCATGTATAGTGTTTCACTTAGATTACCACTTTCCCCCCATCAGGGATATATGCTTCTAAGAGCAGCTTTGCAAGGTGGAAATGTGTCTGGAGCAAGGTTGGGCATGATGATTCAGGGATAGAAGAATTTGCTGTTACATTAAATTTGCACTGCCTCTCCGGGATGAAATGTTGATAAGCTCATTGTTTATTTCATTGTGCTACTTTGGCTTATTACCTTGTACTCTGTTTCTGATTCAGCCATTTGTTCATTATCTTCATTGATTCATTTTGCCTGCTTGAGGACTCCCAGTCCTCCCAGATATAGTGACTTTGGAGCATCCAGAACATTGTATAGTTTCTAAATTCCATAGCCTGAAGCCACTCAGAAGACCCCTTTTTCACATGCCTACTAACCATTGTGCTTGGTAAGGAACTGGGATTGCCTTAAAATTGGAAAAATCTATTGGGTCAAAGGAGGTTTTTTTTCCCCCATAGAAGCCTTATGGACTATGGAGTAAAGAACGGCAGATGCCATAAGTTTGGTTTAGTTTCAAATTACTCCATGACAAATTTGGGACTAAAAAGAGTACTAATATTTTTGGCAGCTTTTGAAAGACATTCTGTATCTGGTACAATCATGACATGTATTCATTGTTAGCTTTGTTTTCTTTTTAAAAAATTAAAGTGATTGGCACAACTTACAGCAATCAATTCCAGAGTTTAAAGTGCTATATCATTAAACAAATACTTTATTTAATCTCTCCTGAATTTCTCACCGTTCTGCATCATTCAATTACCTGTATGGCACTAAAATTAGAATGGATTAGAAAAAACTTCCTAATTTATAAACCTCTTTCCTGTATTTCCTTTGCATACAATTTATTTTACTTTCTCCATAGGTATATTTAGAGCACAGTGGAAGGTATTACAATGCTCACATTCAAGAAGTCCAGTCTGCAGATGGACCAGTTACTGTTTTTGTGGAAGAACTTGGTGTTAAGTAAGTAACCTTGGGATGAATGGTGGAATAGTAAATACTGTGGGATAGCCTAATTTGTGAAGTAATAGATTCTCTTACTTCACATTTTAGAAGCATTTACGGAGGTCAGACCTAAAATTTTTGATGACCGCACAAGATCTCCCTCCATAATCTGTAATAGAACTATGTAGTGTTCTAAAGTGTACACATTTTGCTATCCAAAATGGAATGTTGTTGGTTTCTGTTCGGTCAGATTTTTCCTGGTTTGCGAAATATTAATGAAAGATTTGTAGATAATGACACTTGTAAGTGGTGCATTAAAAAGGCAGGATGGAGTTTTGTATATAAATAATATTCAGTGCTAGAATGTTTTGAATTAGATTCTTGAAAGGACTATGTATTTTTGACACATGTCATTTCCATTAAAAATCCTTCTAATATTTAAGTAATACACGAAATTACTAAATTTATATTCTCTTAGAAGTAAAGTGTGTTGATAATTGCATGTGATAGTATTATCTAACAATAAATGTGAGATACTAAAATGATTAATTAAATAGATTATATTCAGAGAAATACTTTTTATGCACAATTATCGGGAAATTCTAGTAATTTATTTAGTACTTTTATGTCGCTAAAAAATTGTTCTGTAATTTGCATCCTTATTTACTAGAGCAGATATAAAACTGCAGTCTAGCAAGAAATGATGGAACTATGTTAAAAACTAGTGGTTAAGGCATCGGGAAGCAAAAGACTGTATTAGTCTTACCTTAGGCAAGAAAGCAAATCAATTATTTTGGACCAGTTACTTTCTCTCAATTCACCTCACCTCTCAGGGCTTTTGTGGGAAAATAGGAGGATGAAAGAGTATTAGGTTTGTCCATCACTTGGGTTATTTATAAAAACAGTAAAGGAAGGGTACAAATGAAATAAATAGTAAAAGGTATTAGTTGTGAAAAACTATTAAATATAGATTTGTTAAAAACCAATCAAAATATGTGTTTTTAAAGTCAACAAAAATTGGAGCCATTAGATTCAGGAGGGGAAATGGCAGTGATTGCTTATTGGAATGTATTTCAGTTGCCCAAGTTAAGTAAAAACATCACTGGATTTAACTCTGCGTTTCTTGCAGTTCATAACAGCAATGTAAACACTGTTTGGAAAGAAGTGACATTGTGTCACACAGTGAAACACTGGAGAGGAGTGGATACCTCTTGCCTATTTGAAAGAAACATGAATTCTGTTTAAAAGGGACAGTTTTAATTATTGATCATCTAACATTCCTTAATATTCTTTCTTCTTCTTAAAGTATTAAAATAATACTATGAACAACTTGAAGGTGATTTACTTATTTGATTTATACCCCACCTTTCATTCAGGTATTCAGCAAATATAACATTGCAAATATGGCAAATATAACATTCCCTCTTCCCATTTTTCTTCCACAGAAACAACCCTGTTATGCAACTAAGCATAACAGAGGTTGGGTTTCCTGTTCCTAATCTAGACCATAAACTGCTATACCTCTGTTGTGCAATAGAAATGTAAATTAAATACACATACAGAGAAATTAAAAATTATGTTCCATAATTGTGTACAGGTTCTGTTAGCAGCCTGTTTGGTTTTACTAATGCCTTCAGCGCAACAGTGAAATTATTACAGAGGTTTTGTTTCTTCTTTCTTCCATCAGGCATTCAGTACTGCTAAGAAACATTAAACCTCTTCCACAGGCAACTCCTTTGGAAACCTGGAGCACAGTACCAGGGAAGAAAATTAAGAAAGCCACTTCGGTGCATGGGCAAAATGTTCAGACTGGTATGTGTTTTTAACTTGAATTCTACTGACTTGATTGCTGATCTGTTTTGGATTAACTGATGCAAAATGTGTCTCCCAGATACAGATTGCAGAGGTTCCAAAAATCCAAACAAGCTAATAAAAACCACATCAGTTTTATCTCCTCGAACGCAAATCACAAGACAGCATCACTTGCCCAGTTTGGGGGTGTCTTCTCAACAATCTTCTGCTCATCACAAAACTCAAGGCAGAAGCCCTCTTCAAGCTGTAAGGTGACTAATATCTCATACTTTTTTGGCTACAACTTGGCATTTTAAAATAGGAGTTACTAATTGCTCTTTCTATGCTTTATTTTATTTCATTTCATTTTGGTTCAATTTGAATTTCTTTTTCAAAATACTTAAGAGTGAAGATAGAAAAGAAAAAGGAATTATTTACAAAATGTATGAACTTCATAGGAACTTACAAAATACTAAGACAAAGGGAAATATTCCTCTATTATTTTACTAATAAATTAGAACTGTGTAATCATATCTCAATTTGACCCTTTATAAAGACTGTTATTAAAGTCATAGATTAACAAAAACAGCCAAAATGATAGGACTTATTACAATGAGAAGAAACAAGAATTTCTAGCTAAACTTGAAGAAAAATTGAAGTATCCAAAGCTACTTGTCTGAAGTAAGTATATGACATGTAGGAGGTGAGCAGGCTAAGCTGGAAAGTGGGGTTAAACATGACATTAGTTTGGGATAATTGTGCAGCCACAAGAGACCCCGAGACCAGCCTCCACCATGAATTTTGTTGATCCTTCTCTATCACCACTTTAGCTTGGACTGTTAATTTACCAGATTCTTGTGTATAGGTAGCAATAAACTCCTTAGTGCTTTAAATTCAGTGAATGTTCATGGTAGTTTGCACCTGACAGACACCAGACAATCAAAAGATTGAAGACATTTTGTTAAGAGAAACCTTAAACTTGGATTATGCAAAATTGTATGGTTGGTCCTTAATAATTGGAACTGGATTTCTGTTGCCAAGTGATGCAGTTATAAAGTGTGATGCCACATGACCCCATAGTTTAGTGATGTCACTCTCCGTTGCCTTTGTTAAGTGAAGACTGTAAGTGAGCCCTGGATGACTTGTAAACAGATTGGCAGGCAGGTAAATGATTACTGTGAGGAGGGGGAGAATGTGTGGTCACCTGTGAGATGCAGTAGGGCTGAGGGTGGCTGCTGTTGTGGGGTGTGTGTGTGAATGACTTACAGAGCGATTTGTGAACTTTGCTGCTGGCTTCCCTGTTGACTTTGCTTATAGAAGTGCACAGGGAAGGTTGCAAATGGTGACCATGGGACTGTGGGATGTTGCAATTGTCATTAAGTACAAGTGCTTGCTAAATGCCCAGTTCGTGGTCATGTGACTGGATGCTTGGACACCTGGAACTTTGAGAATCAGTCATAAGTACTTGTTCAGCCTCATTGTAACTTTGGTCATTAAACAAATGGTTGTTAACTGAGAACTATCAGTACATGCAAAATTATAGTCAATTAACAATTTCCAAATTATGTTAAAGTTAATACCAGATGGGATTTTTTTTACATCAAGTTATTTTTTGACATTGAAACATACCCACCAACCTTATTCTGCCAGTCCTCAAATGGAGTAATTAAATGTAATTTTTTTTGTGGCAGGCATTGTGTCTTTCCAAGAGCTAACCATACATAATGTCACCTCAGTATACTTTTGTAAGAATATATGGCTCGGAGGTGATGATTAACCAAAAAAAGCTGGCACAAATGGAAAGTCAGCATTTAAAATTGGTATATTTCTGTAGCCATTCATCTTTCAGAACTGCTGAGCTTTGTGTCATTGCCACCAAGTATGAATGAACATATATTGCAATATTGATACATTAATGTACTTTCTGATAGGATTATTCTCCTTGGATTTTCTGTTGAGAAACTAAAACAGTAATATTTAAATGAAGATAGGTTCCAGTGATAAAAAGTTTAGATTAGCTTGAAATGTAGGATTAGCTTTTCATCCAGCAATGTTGCAGGCCAAAGCAGTCAACATCAGATGAAGCACCATTTGGCTATTACACATTGTATATGCAGTGCCCGGTTTCTTAAAAACAAGACCAAATGAATATTTGACATGCTGTAAAAGGATAATGGAGGGGTTTGATGACTCAAGTGATTAAAGATGCTAAATTTGTCAGCTGGAAAGCTAACAGCTGGGGTTTGAGGTCCAAACTCTGCAGGACAGAAGAGTTCCATCACTTGCCCCAGCTCCTGCCTAACTAGCATTTGAAAGCAAGTGAGTAGATGAATAGTTACCACTTTGGTGGGAAGGTAACAGCGTTCAGTGCATCTTGGCATATGGTCAAGGTGGCCACATGGCCATGGAAGTGTCTTCAGACAAAGCTGTCTTCCTCGGCTAAGAAATGGGAGATGAACCCTGCCCCTGAGAGTCAGACCCGACTGGACAAAGGAAATCTTTACTTTTTAAAGGGGTGGTGAAACTGTTGCAGTTTTAATAGATGTAATTCTCGCCCCCCCACCCACCCCCAGAAAAACAGATTGTGAGAATGTGCGAGAAGAGGACCACCGAGACAAGAATTGTAATGTTGGTCTTTCTCCAGAGGAACATAGAGAGAAACAAGCTATAGATGAAGTTAATTCACTGTATGAAATCCAATTCCAGGATGAAGAAGCTTTTCCTGCGCTTTTGGTATGTATGCTGGGTTTGCCATTGGGCTCTGTGTATTCTCGACTATAGTACATTATTCTGTTCCAGTGAATAATGAAAGAAACAGTCACAACCGAAATATTATCTGATATGTTTTGCTTTGCCAGTTGAATCTGTTATATACTATGGCACTCGAATAGTACAGACATTCTGCACCAAATCCTAAGATGTCTAATAAGATAAACCAAATTTTAAAATGTTTTCTTTTCAAAACATGGGAGTCCTTCAGACAATGTTGGCACCAACATCCAACTTAATTAGGTACGTATTGGAGGCCAGTGCATCTAAGAGCTGCACAGCTCATGTAACTATACTGGACAGCTGTCCCATATTAATGACTTGCACTCAACTCTAATATCCATGTTAAGGCTTGGTTTCATTATTAAGAGTGCTGACTCTTAGACAGATCCAGTGCACATTGAGATATCAGTTTGATAATCAGACAAATAAGCAAGAAGGGTGCTGGCAACAATACACTTTGCATTTCTAAAACTAAAAATGGGTCTGCCATTAGCTATTATCATTTTTTCTCGGTTAAGAAACAGAACAGAGCTTGGATAGGTATACTGCTATTCAAGGAATACATACACTAATAACTTCTACTGTAGGGACAAAGAAAAACCTAATTCACAAGATTCAACTGATCTATTAATTTGAATAGAAATTACCCCATTACAATGAGGTTAAATATAGTAAAGGAACATAGCCACAACCTGATCTTCCTGATTTTGTTCATAGGCTGGACACATTCAGTATTTTATGATATTTGTCTGTTCAAGTAGTATTTTTGTTTTAATAAATAGTATTCCCTCATATTCCCCAGTCTGGCTTTAAAAATCAGAGGGGAATTTTGTGATGCAGAATGTTTGCTAGGCTGAGGAAGAAGAGCACTTAAAATTGTAGCTCTTCGAGTTTTGACCATTGTGCAGATAATTAAACTTTGCGATTATATATTCAGAACAGGAACAAATGCTTTGGATTGGGACTCAATATAAGGAAGTTCAAAAGGACTTTTACTCATTTTGAGAGTGTAGGTTTAATAATTCATTCTCAGTTTGGGGAAGATGACTTGACTTGGATTTTAACTGCATACTGGATGACCCATCATTTCTTGGGTCATTATTTCAGAGATTTAGGAGCTCTCTCAGGTTCGTATTCCTTTATTTCAGAATACATCTGTGTCTCAAGTAGCTACACAGACTAATGAGACCTCTGCATGGCAAACATCCCAAGTTCCTAACGGGAGAAGAATCGGCAACCTGAAGGAAGAACAGGTGATAAAAAATAAAGATGAAAAGGATAAGAAAGGTATGAACAAAGGCAGATATTGGGCTTTCTTTGGATTGATGGCCAATATATTTTCATATTAAAGATATTAGAATATTATTCAATAAAGGAGATAATGTAGTAAAAGAATAGCACAGATTGGAGTGCTTGGAGACCCTAAAATCTTGGTGTATTTTCAGAACATAGATGAATAATCCTGTGCTCTGAAAATACACCTAGTTTATTAGGTTTTAGGTTCCCGTGTTGTTGGCTATATTGGCGAGAGATGATATAGAAGTTCATAACATCTGAAAGTTGCAGTACCTGCTTTCTGGTATTCTGTGATTTTGTTAATTTTGCTGCTTTCTCACACATTATTGCAGTGTCTAATCTTGAGCAGATTCTCTCAAATCAGAAGCTAGATCCCAGAATGTCTAAGGTAAGCATGGTACACTGTGATGCATCCTGGTCATCTTTCTTCTTTTGCAAAATGGACACAATCAAGTGTTCTTTTTAATTTGCAGGACACTAAGGAGGATGTAGCTGTTGCAGGTATATCATCTCCCTCAAGCAATGGAAATATTCATTCACCGTCAGCTGAGCAGGTAAGAGATGCATGTTTAAATTTCTGTGGCCGTTTCAGGGGAAAGATTACCTTAATTGAAGTTTGTCAATTTCCTGTATATATATTTCCAAGAAATTGGCTAATCAAATAGAATTCTTTTTTTATATTTTTCTTGTGGAGCAATGAAGCATGCACAGAGAGTGAATATTAAGCTACTTCAAACTGAGTTGTCCTCACTAAAGATGATAGGACTGTGTATTGTGTACTGTTAATTTGCCTTAAGTTGTCTTACAAAAGGATGTATATGCAACTGATCATGGAATGCAAATGTTGTCAATGATATTTTGCATGAAGTATACTTTGGCCCATGTTCCCTGCATATTTCCAGAAAGGCAAGACTGGTTCAATTCAAAGGGACTGAACAAAGAATGGGACTATAAAATTGCAAAATTGATTTTCAGATTTTAACACTGAATTATATTGTTTTAATTTAAAATATATTAAAATTGATTTTTAAAAAGTATTTAAAGTCCATATTATTTTTACAGAAATCGTTATCAGTTATGAATGCTACCCCATCTTCAACTGTTCCTGAAATACATTTGCCTCCCACTGTGCCTTCTGCACCAGCTGTTGTGCCAGCTTGGTCAAGTGAATCAACAGACTATGGATTAACAGGTTTGCAAGGGGAAAACCCTTTTATTCCCAAACTGGTTTTACAATAGAAGATTGTTAGCATTTTTATACTAACCAATATTCAGTTTTCAGAAGTAAAATTAAAGTTACATGTCCGTGTGTGTGTATGTGTGTAAGTTTGCTTGATTTTGGGATTTCTTATTCATTTACTTAATATATACATATGTCTGCATTTCACATGCATTCATAGCGGTATATAATAAAAGTAACTATAAGAGTAATACAGAAATTATTATCCATAAAGGCCATAATATTTCACAGCTGAAAAATCCAAATATTGACCATGCTATACTTCATTTCACCCTCTGCTCTGACAACAATCTTCAATAATAGCTTTGATTGAATTTGTACTTTTCTCTGCCTGCCTTGGACAATTTGAGAATAATAGCTTCTCTTTTCAGTTGCTTAGATTCATGTTTGTGTTTTTCTTTGTTCATGTCTTAGGTGTTCCATCCCAAATTCCTGTATCATCTGTGATACCAACACCAACCGCTGGAGTAGATTCAACTATGAGTCAGGCAACCTCCAATCCAGTTGCTGCCATTCCAGTAACACTCCAAGCAGTTAGTCAGCCTTTAATATCTATGCCTCAAACACTGAATCTTTATCAGGATCCCTTGTACCCTGGATTCCCAATTAATGAAAAGGGGGAACGAGTTATTATTCCTTCATATTCTTTATGTGGTACAGGAGAAGATCTACCAAATGGTAAGAGTTGCCCCTTCCTTATCAAATGAAGTATGTGTGTGGGAGGGGGTGTGGTGTGTGTGTGTGTAAGTAGTGACAACAGTAAGAAATGCTATATATTTAGTAGTAGTTTCATTGAGTCTCAATAGTTCATTAAGAACTACTGAGTCAAATATAACTGTAAAGCTTTAGAAATATGAACATTTTGATTGCTGATTTTCTATGTTTTAATTTATATGCATAAACTGAACTATATATTTTTTCTTTTCGTAAAGATAAAAATATCCTCAGATTTTTCTTCAATCTTGGTATAAAGGTAATTATCAACATTCTCTGTTTTGTAAAATTGTGCAAAAAGCTGAATGATTTTTAAAGTATTGTTTAAAAATTGTAAATTAGAATAATTAGCTGAGGGTATGGGAAACTAATTATTATAATCTCATTATAAACCCAAGATTGTGAACATATTTAGTACTCCTGCCTCCTATTTTTCCCACACAACTTAGTGAGACGAAGTGGGCTAAAAAAGACTGATTATCACAGTCACCAGTCAGCTTTCATGCATAAAGGAGGTGTAGAACAGATAGTCTCTTGGTTTCTAGGCCAACACCTTAACCACTATACCAAAGTGGCTCTACAGAACAGCTTGCCAGCATTCTACAAAAATGTCCCGAGATTTTGTTATACTTCTGGCTTATTAAAGATTTTCAATATGTTACAATAAAAATAGTGATTTATTTTAAATATACTTTTACAAATAAAAAGTTACAACAGTTACCAAGTAAGATCTTGTAGGAAAAAGTGGTTTAAACAGCTAGTCGTTATAATCCATGTTTATTTAACATTAGCTCAGGGCAGTGGCATAATCCTAGGCTGTTTAGATTTTGTTTAACCCAGGGGAGATGACTATTACTTTCTGGATATTTGGGACTAATTCCATTAGTTCCATCCATCATGGGCATTTAATTATGGAAATTGTAGTTCAAAACATTTTGAAGGCATATGGTTGCCTACCCCTAGCTTACATATATGTATAATTTTAAAAAAACATTACCATGGAAGAATAATAAACTAATGCTTAGAACGTGTTAATAAAGTTGATGTTGGAAACTGGCTAATGTTATTATATGGGCTTACTTGGGAGACCTCCAGAAAATATCAAGGTTGTAGGCTAGACTGGAGAGTTTTGAAAAAGCATCTCAGCAGAAAGCAACACTCTTCCACTTCCTTATTGTTGTTGAGAAGATTTCAAAAGGGTATTAAGAAAACCAATAGGAGTCAAGTTTTATGTTATATTGAATGGTCTACTGCTGTGAATTGTATGGAAACCTCATGACTTGGATATTCTCAACATAGCCCCTATGGCTTTTCTGCATATGTGCCCATTCAGAGCATGTGCTGTTGGATTTTTGATGCTTTTATTAATAGTTGGTATATTTGTAACAAATATAAAGGGTACTAGTAATTATTTATAAGACCACATCTTCAGCCCGGAACAATTATTTTATGCATGGAATAAAACAATGCATTAAGCATGTAATAATTTATAAAATAATAATCTGATGTAATCTACTTTTAAAATGTAATGAAAATCATCTTTGTTGCATTTCTTCAGGCATACAGTTGTCCCATGTGGGCACCGCACTCCTATTTGTACCCTCTACATCAAGCTTACCTGAATGCCTGTAGAATGTATCCAAAGGTGCCAGTTGCAATGTATTCTCATCATCCTTGGATGCAGGAGATACCTTTGACTCAGAATGAAAATGAACAAATAGATGGACCATTCCATGTACCAAATGACGTCAGAATGAATGGACAAAGTCTGCAGACTGATCCTATGTCTTCACCCATGCCCCTGTTTATACATGCTACCCAAGTGCCTGAAAGTCAAGGACTTGTCTGCGTAGAGTCTGAGAATCCAGCACAAGCATTACACACTGGTTATGAGGAGTCCCTAGGAGGCAAAAATATATTTCCACAACCTCCTTTTGGGCAGAATCCATTTTTAGGTTCTGTACCACTTGCATCAGTTTTCCCTCAATTTTGGTATGGATATCCTGTTCCAGGTTATATTGAAAATTCTGGATTGAGGCAAGTTGTGGCACAGGAGGCCAAGAGAGGTGATACGGTCTTGTCTGTGGAGGAAACTTCTTCAGTTCCAGTTGCTGAATGTGCCGAGCCACTTCAGGAAACCAAGGGTGAAAGAAATCTCCAAGGCATACCTCTCCCTAAAACTGCCATCAAGAATGAATGTGATGTCCTAAATAAAACCTCAGCCGGAGTGCCTAAGGATCAGCAGACCAGTCCTCCTATCCCACCTGCTACCCAAACAAAATTTCTACTCCAAAACCTCCTTCCCACAGAAACACAGGACATCAAGAGACAAACATCAGCTTCAAAATCTGAATTTAAAAATGTTCTTGGCCATAAGGAAAAGAGTAACAAATCTAATGCATTTATATCAGCAAGTGGGGAGGAAAGTAAAGTACCAAGGGCAAGGGAAGAGAGCTCTGAAGATGAGCATGAAGTATCTGATATGCTTATAAGCGGCCGATCAAAACAATTTTATAATCAAACTTATGGTGGTGGTAGAAGACCTAGAAGTGAAAGGAGCTATCTACCTGGGAGAGGAAGATATCAACATCCCAAAAATGAACCATGGAAGGGGTCACCTACTCGAAATAGAGGGGAAGGCTCGCATTATCATCGTAATTTCAGAGGGAGGCCATATCGGAATGAGAGAAGGTCAAACATGGGAGATAGTTACCGAGGGCTACAGTTGTCTTAACTATCAAATCTAGACATTCAGCATGCATATAAATGCTGAGATATATGCTCAAGGCTTACATTTCTGTTTTGTTAAAGATCAGAGTATTTTTTTGTTTTGTCAAAGGAAAGATGGGCCTTTCAGAAATTTAAGTGGTTAGGTATTTTAATTTGGTAATTGATAAAAACTAATTTTGCTTTATTTAATTTCTTAAGACTAAATACGATTGTGTTTTAAACATAAAAATTGTGTTTTTGTTTGAGTTTTATTTTTCCCATAAAGATTTAAGTTTGTGATAGAGAAGAAAGAAGATATAGTGAAAAGTTAACTGGTTATTTCATATCTGATGATAAAGAATGATGCACCAAATACAATGTATAGCATTGCATATGGTATGTTGAATCTGAGAACTCTCAAATCACTATTTTTGATATACTTCCAATCCAAAGCTTTTCATCTCAAAAAAACTTGTGAAACTTGAATATGTGAGACTTTATTTTGCTTTACTTAAAATACCTTAATTTTTTTGCAATCACTATTTTTGTGTCTTAAGATGGTTTACTGTTTTATATCCATAGTGGTTGTGTGTGTGTGTATTTGTGTATTTCTTGAACTACTTAAAAACAATCAAGAATCTCCATATATCACGTGGGTAGTATACTCAGTTGGTAACAAATTCTTCCAAGGAGTCCTAACGCAGGAATGACTAATAGTGCCTATGAGAAAATATGTATATAAGACAAAAGTAGATTCCGTGCATTTCCAAAATAATTTTACACCTGTTACAAACGAACTTTTAAGATAGTTTTGCACTGAAAATTCCCTAAATGAACTATGGGGGAGATGCATGAAATAGATTAAACTGCATTTGTCTTGTACTGTGGGTTGAAGCTTTTTTCTTTTGTTGTTGAATGTTTGCGTTGGTTTATAAAAGTGATTATTTTCAAAAAAATTGTTATTATAGTGTGTGATTTCTAATTACACAATCTGTGTGCTTTCCTTTGGTATTGCAAAATATTGCAAACCTATATTTCATTTTTATGTCCAAAACCAATTTGTGTAGAGTTGTGTCTCTGTGTACATATATCTCTGTGTGTGTGTGTGTGTGTAAAATATGATACTTTTACCATAACTTTTTTGATCAGGTGAATTGAGTGATACTTGGTAAATTCCCTTTATACATATGTTGCATAATTAAATATTTGCCCTTTCTGATATAGATTTGAACTGTTGGCTTATGCATCTATTTCTATGTGTACTATATAACCAGAAGTGACTTAAGTTTTGGACTGAAACTAATTGAAAGTTAAACCTACAGCTCAAATCACTAAAACATAAAGAAATCTTAAATTTTGTTAAAAAAATACCATTTGAAAAATAAAGATTTTGTCATCAGCTGAAATAATTTGTGCATTGAAAATTCAACTAATTTAGCTCTTCTGTCCTTTGTTCCAAAATAATGCCATTTCCCCCCCTTTATACCTCTCTCAGGCAAAAAGTCATACATATATATATTCTAATCAATGTATACTCCATTTCCCAGAAGTGCAATTAAGATGGGTTAGTGAATTCCCAATTTTGGAAGAATCCACAGGATTACAGATAGAATGCAAATCTTAGATAACATCACAACTGCCTTTAAGCTAATTGAGTTTATACACGTTCTTGAATTTTTCCTCAAATTGATGATAGCCTTCCTTTACTTTCATCGCAACACCTTCCCCAAATGTACAGCTTATCTAAAGAAGCCTGTGGTGTGGCAACTATAAAAAAGGGATAAGATAGTGCCATTATAAACCATCAGAATTTAACATCAAATTTTGATCCTATCAACTTGTATTCTGACAAAAAAAATGTATTACAGGTTTATTTTTACACTAGATAAAATATACAAAAGTTGCAATTTAAAAGAGACAAAGCTAAACTTTCCCTTGGATTATCAATGAATACTTACTAGTTAAAGCTTTCAGGAATTTGTGTCACAGTATTGATCTTAAATGTAGAGACATGTAGCATCATCTGAAATGGAGGAACTAGGCTAAAAATAACCTAGAGAGAAATGTGGCCACTTCAAAATATATTAAATGTTTGGGATAATTTATAATTGGTGGCAACCAAAGGATAGATAGTAAAGCTAAACTAAAAACTCAGGTGGGTGTCAGTTCTGATATTTGCTGTCCAATTTTTCCTATGGCTAAAAATATTTTCATCTTGCAAAGGCTTACTGTGTTCACTTAATTTTGCAAAATGATGTGGGTATATTTGGGGCTAGATGCAGACAGGTCATCTTTCACAAAACAAATTGCCAAATACCTTTTATACAACACTGAGGACTGGCTAATTGAAAAGAACTTGCTACTCAAAGAACAAACTGGATTTAGGTTTGGTCACTCTACCATTCATAATTGTTCTGTTTTGTGTCATCTAACAGAAAAATATATTGCTGAAGAGAGAGAACTCTTTGCAACATAGTGCAGCATTTAATTCAATAAATTGGGACCTTTGTATCTATTGTACTTCTGTATTTGCTTTATCGATATGGTTAAAGTTCTATTCACAAAACAAATGGCCAAAATGAAATGGATATGGATATATGAAATTTACAACTGAATTGTAGAAAAGGAGTTTTGTATTTACAAAGACGCCTTTGTGCAGACCAATCATGACTTCCTCCTATAAAAAAATGGCACCTGCAAGTAAATTATCTGACTTAACTGTTGCTCCTATCACTGATTGATGGTAAATTAAAAAGTTTCTCAATAGAAAGTGAGCAAAACAGGGCCTCTAAAACAGCAATATTTGAACTATTATCTTACTTAAAGCTGGAAAATAAATTGACCTAGCAGATTCCTCAAGAAAGAACGGATCCCATGGAAGTAAAGCTTTTTCTAAATTGAGCAATTAAAGTTAATTCTTGCTTATTATCAGTAACTAGAACTTATCAGTAAGCCATACTGTATAAAGCACAATGTCAGATGACTGTACTGCATAGTGATAATTCCTGGTTGTCATTAAGCAAATCCTCTGAAGTTTAGTATGACATGGTCATCATTTGTAGCCTTCTACCGGATTCCCAACTGATCTTGTCAGAAGCCGGCAATGAAGGTAGCAAATGGTGATGTGACCATAGGAACCTTGCAATAGTTACCACTTCTTCAATGCATTGTAAGTTTGAATCACTATGACTTACAATCTTGTCTAAAAAATTTCCAAGCCATTACATGTATTACATTTTCAGTCTGATTATGAATCAAATATACTAGAATTCCAAAATATGGAACACACAAATCATCAGTGGAAGCCACATCTGCTGATACGTGAAAATGTAAAATGAATGGCTAATGAAATTCCATTAGATATGTGGTTTATAGCAGTGGTCACCAACCTTTTTTGTGCCAGGGACCAGTTTCACTCAGAAACACTTTTTCAAGGACGGGGGTGGGGGGTGTGGGGGGGTCCGAGTTTGGTGGTTTGCTTGCAGACGTTTCATTATCTGACTAGGTAACATCTGATGTTGTTACCTAGTCGGGTAATAAAACGTCTGCCAGCAAACCACCAAGTTCAGGGAACGCCAATGCCTCCTCATTGCAACCCTGAGCGACAGATAGTCCCTGCAGGACGGCTGAGAAGCCTCGCCTCTCGGCCCTGCCTTCATCAGCCCCATCCCGCAGGTGTCTCCCTCCCTCCCTCAGCCTCATCCCTCAGGTGTCTGCCTCGTTCCTCTCTCTGTCGCTCTCTCACTCCTCCACCAGCCCAGGAAGAAACTGCTTCAAAGAAGCCGGCAGGGTGGCTTTTCCTGTCGGCGCAGCTTCCCCAAAGCGCCCGTTCACCCCAACCCCGCCACCCACGGTTCAATCCTCCGTTCTGCCTGCCTGCCTTCGTTTCTGGTTTCGGATCCTCCGAAGCGCCCGTTCACCCCCGCCCCGCCCCGCCGCCCGCGGTTCAATCCAGTGCTCCGTTCTGCCTGCCTGCCTTGGTTTCTGGTAGTTTCGGAGCAGCTTCGGCTGAGAAAAAGAGGCGAAAAGTTATTATTCTCAGCCGAAGCTGCTCCGAAACTACCAGAAATGAAGGCAGGCAGGCAGGCAGAACGGAGCACTGGATTGAACCTGGATTGATTGGCGGCGGGGTGGGGGTGAAACGGGCACTTCGGAGGAGCTGCGCCGACAGGAAAAGCCACCCCCCCCCCCCCGCTTCTTTGAAGC